AGCATCATGTGGAAACTTGTTAGAAATGTCCCACCCCATTAGAAACTCTGGGTGGCACCCAAAAACCTGTGTTTTAACAAGCCCTCCAGGGCATTCCAATGCAGTTTGAGAACCATTGCCCTAGAACATGTCAATATAACTGCCCAACAGAAAGAATTCTGGACTGGGAGTCACGAGATGTTGGCATAAGCACAGGAAAGGAATGAGACTGAGCTACATAGGCCCAGTCTGGCTCACACATTTGCCAGTCAGATAATTCCCACTTCCCAGTCTAGGGAGAAAGAAGGGCAGGAGCAGAAAGACCAAGCCCCTTCAGATTCTGTGTCATGCTACCTGGAAGCAAGACGCTAAAGGAAGGGTGGTTTCCACACCCACCTCACAAGCTGATGCACCAGTGGAGTTTGCGCTGGCGAAGTCTCCCCTAACCCCTGTAAAGGTTGGCCTCACATCATGACTCAAAAAGCAGACAATAAAATGAGACAAGAAAATAAATGATGCATTCGTCTTTCTTATCAGTGAAGCCAGTTTTGCTCCACAGTGCCACCCACCCTGTGTGAGCATTTGACTTTCTTACAAAATTTGTCATCGTCCAAGATGCTACAAACGGTCCATCCCTGCAGCTACAAATACAACTTCAAGTATTACATCTTTCCCTTTGATTCGGAAGCAGAAACATGGCTCTTCTATCATAACCATAAACCGCCCACATACAACACAGTGTTTCAATAAACACTAAATGATACAAGATGCTCCATTTCAATATAATGGGTTACTTAATGAAGCCCATCGCTAAACAAAGCAACTGAGGAAAATTTGGTACAAAACAAATAACTTTGCTTTGCCAAAAACAAACTGTCCTGTGAGGTGAATGTCTTTGGAAACCCTTTGAATTAACCGGTTAGGAACTGGACCAATGAAATGAACTTTAACCATAAACCTTAAATGTTTTCTGGTGTTGAAGTTGGCAAGTATCTTAGCCTTGCTTATTAGCAAATTCACCCTGAACAATTTAATACTTCTCTTGAATTTCTTTCTAGTAGAGTTTTATATACAGACTTTTGTTGTTGGTTTTAGAAATAAAAATGCTCATTTCTTCCATAAGGTTTGAGGGGAGCTCTTTAGGATTTTTAATTACTAAGTAAGTACATATATGCCTTCCTGTAACTGAAAGTAGGCACATTTTGAAGATGTCATAATTATTTTGAGAGAACATGATGAAAATTTTATTTTTTATTCTTTCAGTCATTAATGCACCACCCTTCTATGCAGTGCTATTCAAGGCAAGGCCCTAGGCACACCCTTAAAGAGCTCATAATGAACAGGTTCTCCTGATGTATTTACTTGAAAAAAATAATACTATGAACCAACAGCAATGCTAAGTTCTGGGATATGGTAGCGAATAAGACAAACAATAGACCTGGCACATGGCAGAAACATATGTCCTCCTGGTCTCGTGTCTTGCCTTCTTTCTACAATCGCCCGTTGCTATTGTCCTTCTCTTGTCCCATCAGCATGGCCCAAGGATTAAAGAGGAGATTAACGAGAACTTACTGTGCCACCAGAGTATTTAAATCTTTCTATTCTCTGTCCCTGCCATTGAACCCTTCCCTTCAATCCCCATCATTTAATTTCTAGTCTTGTTCACTCGTTATAGACCTACGTTCCCTTACAACTTCCAGGTTTCATATGCAGCAGTTACAATCATGTTTGCCCTTGCTTTGACCACATCCCTGTATTTCAAAGCTTCCCAGCATATATTCTCAGACTCTGAATTACAGAATTGTGCCCCATGTCCACACTATAGTGCTATAGTAAAACAACTTGCATATTTTTCTTATTCTACTCCTCTTCCATTCTAAATAGATCTGAGCTCTTTAAAATTAGGCAGGATGATGCGGTCCACGTAGTAGATGCTAAACAAATAATGCATGTAATATACAACTGGAAGGCCTGTCACAGATCATCTAGTCTGAGTCTCCTGTGTCTGAGGTGAGAAAACTATAGCCTAGAGAAGCTTAGTGGGTTAACGATTGTACAATTCGGCAGTTGGAGCTGGAATCCACATCTTTCGACTTCTGATCCAGGACTCTTTCTGTGTGAACTTACTGCCTCAAATATAAGCCTGAAAAATGCCTCAAAAGTGTTGCATCTCTGGCCTCACTGGACCTGCTCACCTTGACCTAGCCTAGACTCTAGCCTGGCTGAACACCTTGTTAGGGCACTTTTCAGCCATTCATGCATTTGTCCATTATTCAACAAGTATTTACTCACGGCCTTTAATCACATTGTACTAAATGTCGAATACACAGAATAAATGCAAAGTATGTGGTCTCTCTTCTCAAGGAATTTTCAGTCTATTGGAGGGGGGCACAGGCAACAACCTAGTAAATAAGTATATAATCACAGGCAGGGGTAATACACAAACATGAAGGGGTAGGGGAGAAGGGAGAAGAAGGGGGCAAACTGAGAGATGATCGGGAGAACTGAGAAATGACATTTAAGCCAAGAACAAAAGGAAGAGAAGAGAACCAGTTTGCATTCCTTTCTCTCTTGGATACAAGCCCTGGTACAAGCTATCACACATGCATAAAATGATTTCCAGTCCACCATGCTGTGCTGTATCCTGCCTCTCACTGAATTTGTAGCCTAACATCCACATTTTTCAAATGAAATCCACTAATTAATTCCATTATTGAACCCTCTGGTAGAGTGTCCCTCCTTAAAGTTCAAATTCTGGCCAACTCCCTCCCCTAACCCCCGTAACTGGTTAATTGCTAAGGATACATTTCCGTGGGTTATATGATTATTTGTCAAACTCCCTGCGGTCAGGGGGCCTAGTATTTGCTACTTATTCCAAGTACCTACTAAAGAATTCAGCAATCAAACACTGTATGGGACAGTGTCCAAGGATCTCAATCCTACCTGTCGCTTTAGCTATTTTTTTTTTTTTTTGCTATTACCATGATTTACTCACAAATACCCTTGTATTTATAAGACCAACGGATATCATAAGCATTCATAAGTTGTTTTTTGCTTCCAGAAGTAACTTTCATTTATTCAGTTGTCAAACATTCAATAACTGAAAGACAAGCAGTGAGCTAGACATTGCAGTAATATGAAGAGGAGTAACACACAGAGCATTTCTAATCAGTGAAGATAAACATATAAACATAATTAGAATTCAGTGCAATTAATAAATAACAGAGATATGTTGAGATGCTATATAGAAACAACTGTATCAGGATAGGGGAAGGTAAGTCAGAGAAGGCTTCCCTGAGGCGAGTCTTGAAGGATGAACAGCAGTTCCATAAGATGAACAAAAGGATGTCAAGAACACAATTGCATGTAACACCATGCTAAACACTGCATGAAACAAATTAGGTGGGCATGACCTCTGGCCTCCAGAAACTTCATATCAAAGGAGAAAATTATGCAGGTTCAATATTTAGGACATAAGTTAAATAAATATGGCCATTTTAAATGAAAATAAACCACATCCTAGCAAAAGAGCAGGTGTTTTTTCATGGTCATAAGTAAAAAGGAAATTATGGGAGGATTTTTCCTAGCAGAGAATTGCCAAAACATTTCAGGTAGTCACTATAGCCTTTCTACAGGAAGATAATTTGTTTGTTTATCCAAATTAAACTAGTATTGATTGGTTTAGTTTTATTAGTATGTCTATAAAGTATCTCTAATTACACTTTTAAAAATTGAATGCCTACTTAACAATGAGGCTAGTACAGGGCACTAAATTGAAATGCACCTTCCCAGTGAAAGCTTTCCTTTAAAGCCTCAGATATTTTTCAGGTGAAGGAGGCAAAAGGAACTCTCCCAGTATCAATGAGTTTGTGCCAAAGTGGTATTTTCACCATTAATCAAAAATATCTATTTGGCTTTGATTTTTCCTTGATGATATAATTTTATTTTATAGCTCTGTAATTTTTAAACACTTTATCAGTGTTTTCTTCAACTTTACTAACTTCACTTCTTCCTATCTGAGATTGGACATTCAATTTGATCAATTTAGTGTTTACAATACAGAAGAAAATTCCATGACATGACTGTAATTACAAAAGGAGTCTTTCTGAAAAAATCAGAGAGTTTTGTCAAAAAGAGAGGTTTCACTTTGTAGAGGGGGTATAAAAATTACTCCCCAAGGTACTACATATGAGGTCAAGTACACACATACACACAAAAAAACTTATTAATACATTTAAGAAATAAACATAGGGGCTCAAGGAATAAATAACATTACCTGGTAACATTGAGACTCAAATACAGTAATATTTCATTACCCAGAGTATGTTTATTCATTAAACTCAGCTATCAGAAGCACCATTACCAACTGGAAAGTGTACAATAGTACTGATAATAATCTTTAAAACCCAAAATAGGAACTAGAGTTCATGAAATTTACTCAGGCACTTACACTGTGCCTATTCACACTTATTGTAGAGAACTCTAAAAGCCTTGATTTTCTGATTTTTCTAGGACCCTGCAAATTAGAAGCAAAATATAGAACAGATTAGAGAAAGCTACTACTAAGGGCAATGAGAAGTGGTAACTAACATCCTGACAGAGAGAAAAAGAGGAAGAAAATTATATAAAGAGGAAAAAAAATTCAAAAACCATCATTGTCTGGGACTTATACCTTACTGGTTCCTGGAGTAAGCATAACATAGCACAGCTCATTGTACTCTACTGGCTGAGATATGTGCAGTGTCTTTCAGACAACTTCCAAATAATTGTATATTTCTATTAATATTGGAAGGGGTGACTTCAGTTTTGAGAAAGATTTCCATATGAAAAATACCTAATTTTTGTTCAAAACTGCTGAATGAATGAAAGGCGACAACGTTAAGATCATTGCAGATCACAAGCGCTCCTGCTGGCCTGCGTGTGCATGCGCATGTGGTGATGGCTCTTTCTCGGTGACCTTGGAACAACCTTCTGCTAGATATTCTACTTGTTTCTTTACCTTTCTCTTTCTCTCGTTCTAGCCGGAGACCACCCCCATCACCAACTCGTCCCACTATAATCCGTCCACTAGAATCCTCCCTGTTAGACTAAACGAAGTGTCTGCCATGGCAATTAATCACTAACGAATTATGCAAAAGGAGCATATTTGATAACTGTTGCAGTAAATCATGAGTAGTCGCATGTGTGGACATCAGTAGGCAAGTAACCAGTTTTACTAATGCATTCATCACTCATCTTCATTGCTCATGGTATGTCAAACCTTTGGGGTTTGACTCTTAAAAACTGCTGACCCTAGAGGTGTTCTATGTTGTATTGACCAAGGTAGGTCTGTATAGCAGCCCTATACTTTGGGGACCATTTGCCTACCCTGGCATATATTTGAAATGGCTTTGGACAGATTTTCCAGGCTATCTACCAGGTAGCTCATTAAATAGAATCCTTAACAGATATGAGATGGTGGGCTTACACCTAAGCCATACGTATTTCTTTTCCCACATCCTGTTTAGGATGACAGTAATTCTGTTGTCTATTATTAGTACTACGACCTACTCCATAATTATATATTTAGCTCCTCTTTCCTTACTCTTTATTTCATAAGACAGCTAGGAAGTGACTTTTTAATTCCTTAAGAATAAAACTTTTCCAGAAGCATAAGGTAGTTTGCAAAGGAAAAGTCCGCATTGTTTGCTCTAGAGAGCTTCTCCTTGTGCCGATGTGTTTTGCTTCATGCTAGAAGCATATGCGACAGTGAATCAAGGCTTGTTTTTTGTTAATCAGTCATTGGCTAGTTTCAGAGTTCAAGGAAGAAGCAAAATATCACATCTCTAGAAGTGTCTGGAAAAATATTTCTTTATTCATTCATATATTCACCTCCTGGTCAATTACATTGAAGGCTGACATAGAAAATGTTTAATTTTTCTAATCGATCTAATTTTTGGCATGGCTAACTGAATTTTGCTACTAACTACAGTTCTATTATTATTGTTTTGGCTTGAGACAAAAAAATTTCTTTCTATGCTAATTTGTAATTCCCTTATGTAAGAATGTATCCTACCTTTTAAACAGGTTTAGTGTAACTTTCTATCCATTCTAGGCTTTCTTAATAAATCTTGAGGCTTATTATGGGATAATCACATTTAAAGAATGGTACCCGAAATGAAAAGTCAGTAGAAGATGCCATAGTTTAAGAGAAGAGCTCACACTTGTACAATTGTACTACTTCAGAGTCCCTATCCAGGTCCCTTACTCCAGAAAATGGTATTAAAACATTGTGATCCAAAGCAAATTTGCAATATCTAAGATTTCTAAAATTTACAGTATAGGATTAACCTAGAGATTCATAGTTCAGTCTTGAGGCTAAGTTTTGGACTACCTAGGACCAGATGATTAGCCAGAAGCCAACTGGAATTTTGTCTGCTAACTGTTCCCAGACAGCAGAGCAAGTATTCACTGAATAGTGGTGTCCCATGACACTATTTCATATTCTACAGAAGTAAATCAGGTTTCACCAACTGAAATGTCTCCCTTTGAAAGCAGCAAACATGATTTGTATGTTAACTTAACTTTAATTTCCTGTGTAGTTTATACCCAAAGCAGACACCCATAAAATATAAAGTAAAAAGTTTTAAAACCATTATTAAAAGAGAACTTGCCATGTTGTATGGCAGTGTATTGAACTTATTCTAAAGGGTTACAGCTAGCCCACTTATAATTGGAAAAAATCAGAGAATATAAGATTTACAAAAAGGGCATTTCAGTTTTTAAAGTTACAAGTGATTTTATAAAGAACATCACCATCCTAAGTCCCCTCACATCTTATTTCTTTCCATTGGAAAAAAAAATAATTCTCTGTGAATGGAACTAAGGTGCAAGATACATACTGTGTTTTTAAAAATAATGTCTCCGCTAAATGGAAAAATGTTAAGTAAAAATCCATAGTAAAACAAATAATCTGCAGTGAGATCGTTTCATAAAATTTTCTCTTTTTAGGATTCCCTTTGCTTCTTCCTTTGAATTCTCTAAAATAGGCAGCTAGCAGATTATATATTTCAGGGTTTGGCTTCATGCTAAATGTGGTTTTGAGTTTTGCTGTATTTCAAAAATTTCCTTCTGTTAAAGGAAAATATTGTGGATAACCACTGGTGTGTTCTTAGATCAGCACAAACCATGTCAAAAAAAAATTGGAGATTTTTCCCAAGTTTCTTTCCACTGATCTTAGGCAGTAATAAACAATGGCATTTGTCATCTTTGGCTTTTGCTTTTAGGTTATATTCCCACAGTTGCATTGTCTCCCTTTGTGGGTACATTTTTGTTCTTTTTTACTCCTAAGTTACTTCTAATAGAACCCAGCCTACCCTGGAGTTTCTTCAACAGTCACATTGGAGAATATTTTCAGTTCGCCGCATTATGATGTCATATTATTAGTATGAATCCCATTTCCCAAAGGGCTTATATCCTGCTAAAAGGAGATGCCAAGGTGAATTAAGTCTGAAGCTCTAGGATGCGCATAGTTCGAGGTGCAGCATGCACACCAGGCCTTAAGATGGGAATGTAGCTTAATGAGCTTTCTGTTTCCCATACCATTTCTAATCTTTTGTGTAACTTCCTCTTAACTGATTGCTCTGATGTTGTCAACATAATAGACGTAGCTCTATCATGTCTAGCATAATACAAGTTCAGTGTTTTTAGGATTTGGGAAATAAACTGTACATGTTTATTTGATAGTTAAATCTAGTTTTATTGTCACATGCTAAACCTTGCATGCATATTGACTAATTGGAATAAACATTTACTCAATTATGGATTATTAAAATAGGATTGATTTAGAACAGGTATACTGCATTTCTAAAAATCATCTACCAAGCTTACTTACTCTTCTAAATATTGCTTTTAGCTGTGTTTTATAACACAGAAGAGCAATAGGGTCTGCTTATTAGCAAATTTCCTACTTGTTCAGATACAGATTCATTCTATTCCAAAATATTATAATGAAACCAGTTCCTGTGATATAACTATAAGCCTTCTGGACTTAGAATTAAAAAGTAGTCACATAGATTAATTTGTGACTCTTTAGTATAGACTGTAGCCATAATTCTCAAATATGAAATGGGACCTAATTACCAGTATGTGATAAATGTTAATGTTTTCTG